GGGTCCCCGGCCATCCAAACTGAGGCCAGTCGGATCGCCGCCTTCGGCGGGCGATCCTCCTTATGCGTGTGAAGTGGGTCCCCGGCCATCCAAACTGAGGGCCAGTCGGATCGCCCGCCTTCGGCGGGCGATCCTCCTTATGCGTGTGAAGTGGGTCCCCGGCCATCCAAACTGAGGCCAGTCGGATCGCCCGCCTTCGGCGGCGATCCTTATGCGTGTGAAGTGGGTCCCCGGCCATCCAAACTGAGGGCCAGTCGGATCGCCCGCCTTCGGGCGATCCTCCTTATGCGTGTGAAGTGGGTCCCCGGCCATCCAAACTGAGGGCCAGTCGGATCGCCCGCCTTCGGCGGCGATCCTCCTATGCGTGAAGTGGTCCCCGGCCAGTCGATGCCCGGCCTGTCGGCGGGCGAATCCTCGTGTGAGTGGGCCCGGCCATCCAAACTGTGAAGGGCCAGTCGGAATCGAAAAGACTCGGCGGCGATCCTCCTTATGCGTGTGAAGTGGGTCCCGGCCATCCAAACTGAGGCCAGTCGGATCGCCTGCCTTCGGCGGGCGATCCTCCTTATGCGTGTGAAGTGGGTCCCCGGCCATCCAAACTGAGGGCCAGTCGGATCGCCCGCCTTCGGGCGGGCCGACCTCCTATATTCGTGTAGTGGTCCCCGGCCATACCAAACTGAGGGCCAGTCGGATGCCCGCCTTCGCGGCGATCCGACCGTGTGAAGTGGTCCCGCCATCCAACTGAGGGCCACGTCGAGCTGCCTTCGCGGGCGACCTCCTTATGCGTGCTAAGGGGTCCGGCCAGTCGGATCGCCGCGCGCTTCCGCGGGCGATCCATCCTCCGAAGTGGGTCCCCGGCCATCCAAACTGAGGCCCAGTCGGATCACCCGCCTTCGGCGGGCGATCCTCCGAAGTGGGTCCCCGGCCATCCAAACTGAGGGCCAGTCGGATCGCCCGCCTTCGGCGGGCGATCCTCCTTATGCGTGTGAAGTGGGTCCCCGGCCATCCAAACTGAGGGCCAGTCGGATCGCCCGCCCTCGGCGGGCGATCCTCCTTATGCGTGTGAAGTGGGTCCCCGGCCATCCAAACTGAGGGCCAGTCGGATCGCCCGCCTTCGGCGGCGATCCTCCTTATGCGTGTGAAGTGGGTCCCCGGCCATCCAAACTGAGGGCCAGTCGGATCGCCCGCCTTCGGCGGGCGATCCTCCTTATGCGTGTGAAGTGGGTCCCCGGCCATCCAAACTGAGGGCCAGTCGGATCGCCCGCTTTCGCTACAGAAAAATTTTTTTTTCGCAATTCCAGAACATTACCGTTTCACACTTGGTATCTCAGAAGTGCTGAAAATGGAAACAGTCACTCGGAGTATGAACTCACAGCCGATTAATGTCGGAAGGCTCCATACCTTTTGTTAATTTTGAAGTGTCCATCGTCGCCAACTAGCGCGTAAAGAAGTCGAGAGAATTTCCCCTGATCTCCATCTCTAGCGAGCGGATACGGTAACTCTAGTACGGTTCCGATTTTTGCAGACTCGTTGATATAGGTAGTGAAGACCGACCCATTCACAAATACAGGCCTGAGCGATGCTATTTAGATGACTCAATTGGGAAAGGTGAGTTTTCCTTAGCTCTACAGATTTTTGAACAAATTGAAGTGAATGATTAGAGCATGCCATCTTGGTGTTAATGGTTAGTACCTGTTATCATTGGCATCGGTGAGAAGGATTGAAAAGTTAGTGGTCGCATTGTTCCCATCTCTATCGATTACGGTAACTCGTCCCTCCAACTTCCGATAAGTCTCAAAATCGAGCTTCCCTTTGTTTTTAATGAACCCCTCGTCATCGATTTCGAGAAGATCTTGTGGTCCCGATACAACTTCTAGTGTATACCTGAAAGCTCTGAATGGTAAGCGGGATTTGTACAAAAGGGAGGGTGTGGGGATACATTCACAACAGGCAAGATGTGAAGAATGTCGAAACTTACTTCAGAGGGCTGTCTCCATCTGCTTCGGCTTTTACTTGAAGCAATCGCGATCCAACTCGAGAATCTTCAGAGACAACAGCTTTGAAGATTTTCTTGTTGAAAAATGGCGCTGAGTCAGATGTGTCCACCACGTTTATGATGAGCTCCACTGAACATAACCCGATGATTACCAGTTATCAAATAAGTAACAAAGTACGAAGCAACTTTTTATTTACACTCCCAGTTTCCAAGGCTCCAGAACCTTGACTGCCGAAAATCCCGCTCAAAGGCAGTTCGATATATACAGTCGTCATCCGGGCAGTTGATTAGGCGGTCAAAGGGTCGCAGACGCGGCTGCGGCGCGTCACGACCGCGGCGATCAGCTGTTTCCAGCCTATTTAGCCATTTTCTCCCTAATTTTCACTGTATTACTTATTTTTTTCAAGGTTAGTTGTTTTTGTCTTTATAAAGTACATTATGACGTTAATTCTTTTTATCTTAGTAATGAAGTGGTTTTACAATTTTTTAGTTATTTGTTTAATTGCTCGTTCAATTACAGGGTGACCAAAAAGTTCTGGCAATTTCGTGTTTGTGCGTTTTTGAATGGCCATTATGGTCTGTTTTCTCTCCGATGGGTTATTTGTATTCCGCAAGCCATTTCGAACTACCGTACGAGTCATCTATCCAATCACTTTCGATTTCTCCTCGCACTGTCTCGAAAAAATCAAAAAGTTGCAGTCTTGAAACGCCATCTTCTTGTCGCGTGCTTGTTTGCTTGAAGAAATGTTGTTCTCGCCGCCGACGAGAAAAATTTTCGATCACAACTACCGGAATTGTTGTCTGCTCCTCAGAAAAGGTCAACAGAAGGCAACGGCTGTGAAATCCGTCGGACGCAGACTCTTTCCAGCCTCAGTCACGGTCTGAGGCGGGATCTGTGCCACCGGGAAGACCTCTCATTTCTTCATCGAGCGCATCGTAAAGATTAATGCTGTCTACTCCCAACAACGCGTTCTCCGCGATGTACTGAAGCCATGGGTGTCGTAGCACTTCGGCCCGGATGGACATGTGCTTCAGCAAGACTGGGAGCCAGCACATCCTGCCAAACCCACGAACTGCCGCTTGTGAAGAGCTGCTTCCCGATTTTGGGGCAAGGACGTTTGGCCTCCCAACTAGCATTGTCGACGCCCACGGATTATTTCATTCTGGCGTCGAAAGATCTGCAAGATTCGGATGCGCAACGGTTTACCACCTGAAAGTGGCGTTGCTGCGTGTTTAGGACCAAACTACAGCAGAAGAATGCGCGACCATTGTCGGACACTTTGGAAAACGACTACGTAAATGTGTTGAGGCTGAAGGAGGCATTTTTGAACACTTGGTTTTGAGACTTTGTTGTATACGGTCATTAGTACTGATTAGATGAAGACTCCCAGACGTTTAGTTGGCTGATTTCCTTTTTCGAACGGTATTTTTTATGCTACCGAAGTATTCCGAAAAATTGCCAGAACTTTTTGGTCACCCTGTATTTAGTTTTGCGAAAATGAGAGATATCAATCATACCTTACCCTGTGAAGACAAGAAACAGCTAACCTCAATAAAGGCAGCCAGAAAGAGAGAAAATCAGCGAGAAAATGGCTAAATAGGCTAGAAACAGCTCATCGCCACGGTCGTGACGCGCCGCAGCCGCGTCTGCGACCCTTTGACCACCTAATAACCGTCCGGATGACGGCTGTAACGCGAACACTACGTTTTGCAAACAGGCCGTGCTCCTGCTCCGCACCGATTTCGACGGCTCGGATCTGTAGGGCTTCGGCGCCGGTGTGTGTGGAGCGAGCAGGAAGGGTTTCTCGTCGTACAGGTGAGATGTCCAAATTTCTGGTAATCCACAGCTCTCGGGGCAGAGTTCCAATAAGTACAACCCAAGTGAAGCTGAGCTTTTTGTGAAGAGGAACTACGGTAGCCCTTATTTAGCCCATAATCCTAATGAATGCCATGCAGAGTGTTTTTTCGAGATACCAAACTGATGAAAAGGCAAAACCCTCGATTGGCCTGCGCTAGATGTGCCTGCTAAGGCTGATTTTAGAGCCCTTCTCAATCAGCACAATAGCTTGAGAACCAAAACAAAAAAAATAACCAGCCTAGATGCAAGCCACCGCTGAACCAGAACTCCTTTCTACATCCTCTGTAGCTAGAGTTTTGGAAACCAAAGTCTCAGTCTCACCTGGAACTTCCCGCTTTCCTTTCTTCATACTGATGTAGAGCCGAATTTGCTTGACTTTTGGAGGTAAAGGATGCTTCTTCGTATAGATCGCTCCGGTGCTTCTGTCTATCTCTAGCCATTCTGCCACTTCGTCGCTCTGTGCATAAGGATTCTTAAGCGGTTCATCTAATAGGAAAACAAAGTCAACTCACTGGGTATCCATCCGATGTTGCAGCTATGATTTCATATGTATATCCTTTCATGTTCTTATTTGGCCAAATTATTTCACGCCTGAAACAGTTGTTAGTTTGATAGTTGGCTAAGATGTACACTCCTTATCCCTGAGACGGAGTAGGCGTGGCATATGAACATGGTATAGAATTGGTTACTCGTGGGATTTTGAGCTTGAGACAACCGTCATCTTGTTCTTTAGACAGAGAAAGGACCACAGTTGTTGTAAAATGAAAATATCTATCCAAAAGCACAGCCACCACCACGTTTGGTTGAAGTACGCAGCCACGCCTACCTCATCTCAGAGATTTCGAGTGTATCTCATGGTTGCACTGGTCAGATGGGGCACTACGGAATCCCATATTTTATAGCCCATTGGCTACGGTTCATTGTAAGCGACCTAATACTTTCTTTACGCGCAGGTGTGTTCCGGAATATCGTTGCAATCAGCTGGGCGGTGTCAAGAATCATAGAGCGAGCCTACACCTGGCGTCGTATCACTGGTTGCTCTCTTTCTGAGCTGGTCTTTATTGGTAAAAGACGAGGCGGAGAGTGGGCTCGCTTCACGCCTGATGACACCGCCCCGACTGATTGCACGATATCAACTATACATGAGAGATGGCCCACAAGTAGAGTAAGAGATGGTCTACAATTAGAATGTGATGGGCTTTAGAAAACCCCCAGAAATTTAAGATATTTTCTTCTGTAATTCCTGTGTTTTGCTGTGGTTATATTCGTTTTTCCATATTTACCAATTCAGCATTTGTTTGTTCTCCGTTTCCAGAGAAATAGTAACGCTTGAGTTATTTAGCAACAGTCTAGGAGCGCTGGTCATCGGATTCTAAGATTTCAGAGACGCTGAAACTGCATTGGGAGCAGGTTCCCAAGCTCATCCTGTCGTAAGTGTTTCGGAGAGGATAGAAGGAATGAAAGTCGATCGAGAGGAAGACCAAAGCGATCTGCGAAGACCCTGGCCCTTCTAGAAACGCCGAGAACAAACTTCTATGACAGGGCACGTCCTACCGTTTGGAAGAATTTTTGCCAATCACAAACCCTCGTCGAACCCCTCTAGTACGTCCTATAATACTTCCGGCATAAAGCACACTTGAGAAAGGAAAACCGAGAAAAGTCAATAATCAAATCATTTTTCCCAAGGCAAAAAGGAATCCGGGTAGACGTGCACCGTTCGCTAAACA